GGTTGCCCGAAAACGATGGCAACTCAGCCAACAATTGCACACCAATTGTGCCGAAAGCCGCAAACACGAGCGCAACGAAGATCAACATTCAGACGGCGCTCACGACGCGCCTCCTGCACCAGAACCTGACTGTCCAACAGTGTTATGTGCGGCACAGGCAACAGATATTCAACATATCTATGTGTAAACTCAATCGCTTCCGTCAATCTCCTGATCCGAGTCTATTCCGTTCAGTACTCATATGTAATACATTGCGAACACTTGAGCGCGAGTTAGACCGCGAGGGCGTTAAGATTAACTTCGGCCCCAACGGTGTGTCGTTCATACCTCCCGTACCCAACACTCAGAACATGACTCTCGACCCACCGCCCGGTGCTTCACATCTCTTAGTTAATCAAAATAGTAATACCAATAGTAATACCAATAGTACTGTCAATAGTAATAGCAATTCAAATAGTGTTAATCAATTGGAGACAACAAATACGTCATCCAATGCCTCCAATTATCAACCAATAAGTGCCATCGGCGGCACAGATACTGATCCCATAATCGACAATACAAACGGTGAATACGATAAGTATTTACTCGATTTGGACGCATCGTCCGGAAGAGTGACCCCTTTCCACAAAGCTCTGTCCCCCACATCGACATCGACATCCAGTTCCGTTTTCGATAACGAATCTTCTATGGACTTCACGCCCACATCACTGACACATTCTTCAGCCAACAGTGCTTTCTGGGGGTCAGACGAGGCCTCCGACAGACTCACAAACATTAACTGGAGTTCTGTACTTAACTTTAACTCTTCGGTGACCTGTTGTTCGTCCGGTGCTAACAGAACCACTCAATTGAGTGCTAATGGACACCAAAACACTCTTCACATGAATGGAAGTGACGGAAGTGTTTCGTCAAATGAAGACACTGTCAGCCCATCCAATGGCAACTCAAGCGTGACTTCCAGTAAGTCTAACACCTGTTCGTTCACTACTCTCTTACCTCCGGCCACGTCTTCATCGACGTCCACAACAACTATCACATCTAACACCACATCGCTATCACCACTGTCTACATCCCTGTCCTTATCCCTGTCCTCCACATTGTCTCAGAACCCAATGGCATCTAATGTAACAAATAGTCATTCAGTAAACCATTTGGCAGTCATTAACGCGAATTCAATCACGTATTCAAACAATTCAACCAACGATGAGATCTTCGGCGACATTGACTTATCTCTCTATGACTTTGACTTATTGTCTCCTCTGTCGCCACCGAATGTCAAACTTGCGTCCATTACAGCCGAAGAACTCATCAGAACCATCTCATCGGCTGATTCCATGTGTTCGCCATCCATCACAATGACCTCCTCCTCAGTGTCATCGCCGCACTCCTCTTCACTCTCCTCTTCCTCCTCATTATCAACGAACGGCTCGTCTGTGTGTTCGCAGTCTAATGGCACGACATTTCACGGCCGGTACTTCAAAAACAATGACAAACTCTTCACTGAGGACAGGGACCAACAGGCCATCACTCCTGTCATGTCCTAAACACGTGTTCCTCACCTCTTATACACATTTCCAATGCGTGCCATCAAAGTATACTTACCTGTCATTTATGGTAATAAAACTTATGAATGAAATAATGTCTTAAAAATCACATTTTGTCCAAAAAAGCAATGTCTGAGCTATCGATTCATTTGTTTTTCCGATTATACGTTAAATTATTAGCGAAACTAAAACTGCCCTAAAATTGGTTTTAAATTATTTTATTTGATTCCCAATTGAGTTATGAATTTGACTTTAAATTATTATATGTTTATAATTTTTCATAAAAACGGAATCTTTAGCAGCACTTCTAATCGACAATATTTTAAACGCGATATTCAGTCGAAGATTATCTAATAATTGCTATTAATTTCTTGAAAAGATGCCAAAATCATATCTCTGAGTAATTAATAGTTTAGCAAAAATAACTCTTTTATGTATTTAGCAAATGATTTATATTATTTAAGAAATTTAAAAATGTTTTTAGTAAATTTATTTATTTAAGAAAATTAAATCAAAGTTTAAAATATTAAATTAATTTTGTTTTGTTTGATACAAACTTTTATTTCTTACGCAAATGATATGGAATTAATAAGTTTTTAAATAATTTAATCGTTTAATTATTTATTTTTAATTGAGTTTATAATTATGATTATTAAGTTACTGTATTAAATGTGTTAAAATCACGTCTTAAAAGTGCCGCTAAAATATATATATAAGTATTTTTTGTATTTGTTTTATTGATTTAAATGAAATTTAATCCACACTTTTATACACACGTCAAGAATCGAGTATTTAAATTCAAATCTCATTTCCCATTAAATTATTGATCAAAAATGGTTTTTGAAAAACTTTTCATTGCATTTTGTTTGATATATTTTCTAAGATAGAGCATCAAAATTTGATGATATTTTTAATTAAGAGCTTATGATTATTACAAAACACTTTGTTTTTTCTTTCATATTCATTTATGTATAGTTTTCATTGCATTTTAATATACAAATATTTTTTCATTTTTCAATTTTTCAAGAGATTTACATTACATTTGTAACAAAATTCCATTTTTTCTATTATATTATCAAAATGAATGAACGAATGACTGACTTATGGAGAAGTTATCTATCAATTAATACAATGAACACAATAATACATATTAAATGTTATTTTTGACAATTTAAAGCCAAACTTATGATAAAAGTGTAAACATTTCATTGTTTTCTCATAAGACATTGTATATTGACGTATAAAAAGTTTTCAAATCATTACTTCCATATGTTATGAATGAATTCATTAGAAAGTTATGTAAATATCATTTCAATTCAATTTGTTGTCGAAATGATTTGCGACACACATATGAAATTATAGCCAAAAAATCAGATGTTTTATTTACAATTATATGTAATGTTAATATTATTAATATATTTGTTATTTCATTTCCATTCAATCATTTATAACCTAATCTTATTGTAATGTATTTTTTGGCTAAAAATTTATTATAATTATTATTACAACACATGATATATATCTTATATTATATAAGTTTTTAATCTGAACCGAACTGTCCTATGCTTTCATGATTATATGGAGCACTACTTTAAACAAAATGACATTATTGTTGAGTCAAAATTCTCTCTCTCTCTCTCTCTCTCTATCTCTTTCATTCATTTTACAGAAAATCATTTCAATTCAATTTGTTGTCGAAATGATTTGCGACACACATATGAAATTATAGCCAAAAAATCAGATGTTTTATTTACAATTATATTTTTAATGATTTTTGAATAAATTGGTCAGAAAATTATTTTTTGTTTTGTCATAAGAGGCAGAAAATAAAGCACAAGTGAATTCATAGTTTGTCTAAATGTTCCTTCGGATTGCCTCTCGAGTTGCTTTAAAGCAATACATACACACCAGCCTTAAGGCATCTCTTTTTTAAATACCCGAAAACTAGTACAACAATAAGTTTATGTGATCACTGATCCCTACCCTACCATTCAAACACTAATTTATAGTAAAAAATGCACTAATTTTTCACTGAAAGAGAAGATTTCAATACATATTAAAGAATCAAAACATTGAATATTGAATACTAGTCTAAATGCTCGACAGTTTCTCTCAATTCTATTCAAATATGATTTTCATACTATTTTTCATAACATTTCAGATTTTGTTTTAATTGTTATTTCATACTCTCATTGAAAACTATTCCGAAAGAAAAAGTACTTCAAAATGTTATTTTCGGACATAAAAATTATGTTTGAAATACCATTTTCTCAATAGTAATACAATTGTTTCCAAAACTCAATTATTATTTAACTGTTAATTTTTGAAAGTAATTATGATAAACAAATTCTTTAATTTTTTTAGACAAAACATATTTACAATACATATACAATAGTATTTAAATGTAAGCGAACAGTGCTTATCATTTAATGGAAGTTAAAAACTTTCTTTACAAATCTGTGCCTTAAATACATGAAAATAAATATATAATTAATATACAATTCAATTACAATCGACAGGCAATCCGAAGGAACATTTAGACAAACTATGAATTCACTTGTGCTTTATTTTCTGCCTCTTATGACAAAACAAAAAATAATTTTCTGACCAATTTATTCAAAAATCATTAAACCATTTGAGACATTGAAAAACGAGACAAAAGTTGATTCTTTTATTTCAAAGCGATTATACTTCTGACCGATAATACAAAACAGAAATTAAAGCTTTTTATGTGAAGCCTAATGTTGAAAATGTATTCAAACGCTTAAAGCGATTGACAAAAGGTTTGTGTTTTTATATATAAAAATGATTGGCATTTGGTTTAGTCTTATGTAAAGGAAAGAAATGATTGAAAAATGAAATGATTTTCTGTAAAATGAATGAAAGAGTTGTGAATTTATTGAATTGTTGTGTTTTTGGGCAAATTCTCTCCAAAATTATTAAGTTTGCAAAACTTTTTTACTTAATTTGTGACTTAAATATGACACGATTTTGTAACATTACTTTCAATTGTAAGATATTTGATGCATAATTTGTAAGACATAATATGAATTGTAATAATAATTTGTAATTAATAATAATGCAAGTAATTTTTGTCATAAATTTCGCGTTTATGATTTGTATAAACATTTTGACAAAATTATGATTTTTTGGGAGAATTTGTGCAATTGTTGTACAGAAAGAATAATTTAAAATAATGTTAAATGAAAAGAGTATTTATTGCTAATAAAAAGACATTTTACAGAAAACATTGGCGAATTTGAAACATATTGAGAATTTTGTAAAAAAGATACTATTATTTGCACCGAAAATATGCTTTAAATTTATATATATATAAATAATTATATATTCATTACGATTACTGATAGACTTTATTGATATAGAATTGTATACACTTTCGATTTGAAAATAAACATTGAATAAATAATAATTATTTGGAAATTAAAAGCCAATTGTGTTTTGATTGTCGACGATAACTATGAAGTCAAGTGATTGATAAGAATGGGTTGGGAGACAAACACGGGATACCCGATGGGGGCGTTGGCCGCCTGGACGGTCAGATTGCGGAGGATGACTGGGTTGGCCTGAATGGAGAACCTCTCGTCGTCATCATTGGTCTAAATGTTTTGAAATTTCAAATTCAATAAATTGGTCTGAATTTAGTCAATAATAATAATAGAATTGAGTTGAGTTGTAATTAAAGTTAGAAAAGTTTTCATTATTTATCATAATTTGTTTAATTATATATAAATTAAAATGATTTAAATTTACTGACCAGGTAAAGTAGCTCAAGTGAAAGGGACGACCAAATGGCCTCGATCACTGCCCGGTTCAGACCACACAAATGCACTGCTATTTCTTGTAGAGTCAATAAGTGACTCGTAAAACATTCCTAAATATAACATCAAATATATTATACTTAATTATCGCCAATATATTTATATATAAGTTAAATATTATATATTATAAGTAAGTGAACAATAAATTCTACTTTAATGCCATCCCTTCCAATCGAGAATAGACTTTGCTTTTCGAGAATCAATGAGTTTTTCCATTCAATGGACGTCTCGTCTCCGATAAACCAATTCATATCATAATCTATTAAGACGTCTATTAATTCATTAAGAGTGGCCATTTCTTGGCCCATCAGGATCTGGTCGAGTGCTATCTTAACAGTGTATTGAAAGCTCTTTATTATAATGTCATACAACTCCTTATTTTTATCTAAAAATTTATTATTGTATCCATTGTCTGGAATTTTTCCATTAAAAATTTGATAAATAGTTTGTGCACTCATTTCACTTGTTTTGGACATTGAATTGATTGGCAAAATGCATGAAAAACAAACCAAAACTATTTGTTTGTATGAATCCATTAGCGATGATATTTGACTATCAGTTAGTTGTGCGCTATTATCACATAAGATATTCAATACACTTTTGAACCAATCGTCAGAAAACATGAATTGTTTTACACTTTGATTAATGCGAGTCCTATAAGTGTAGTCTAAGGAAGCGGTTAACCACTCATTAGTCGGAGACAATGCGCTATACCAGTCCTCCACACTGTTATCTGATCCTAACTTTGGATCACTGGTTATGTCTCCCGAAGAATCAATAGCTCTGTTTTGCTTATTCCTGTTGTCGTCAAAAGTTGTGAAAAAACTCTCTTTACTATTGACGGAAGAATTGTATATTATATTTGAATTGATTTGTTGTTGGCTTTCAATATCCTTTACATGCAATTCTTCATTTGATTCATTCAATTCACTTGTTGTCTCTTTTTTCTCTGTTTCAGACATAGATTTAATGTTTTGTGAACTTTTAAGATGAGAGTTGTCTTCAGTGCCCAACACGTCCTCCTCATCATCAGACCATTTACTTAAGATATGATTATTATTATTATTGGTTTCAAATGCCACTAAATCTTTGTTAGTATTTTGAGCTTTGCTTTTGAGGACGTCATAGAATAACACACTTTTTGCCTCCAGATTTGGGTTAGTCTTAGTGTTTTCGACCTGTTTTTCGATGTCTAACACCACAACACTTTCTTGAATACTAGAAATATGATTTTTATTTGTTTTATTCACTCTATGCTTAAGTATAACCCAAACAAAGACTTTGGAGAACAGTGTCTTAATAGCTGTGGAAGTTTCAGGTGAGTCGATGACACCCGTCAACACATTTCTCGCGTCTATATTCACAAAATATATTCACTTTTAGTATTTATGAACATTTAGCTATAAATTTAAAAACATTTTTAAAAATTTAAAACTATTAAAAACATTTAGCTATAAATTTAATGCCAAGTTTCCATTCAAAGCACTCATACCTGAATAAGTCCTCACTATAAGTGTGTCCAACGGCTGAATAGCGAACCAAAAATATGAGTTTAATATTCTTTGCATTTTGGTGTCGGCGCTCCCATAGAAGGCCTCCTCAATCATGTCATCTATAGTGGTCGCCTCCACGGCATGACATGAGGTCTCCTGCAGCTCAAGACCTTTCACCTGAATCTTCACGTAATTGAAACCCGACTCCAGGACCTGAACCCATACGAGTCGGTCATCAAATCTGGCCAACAGGAAGCTGCCGGCCCGACAACAGCTCATTACTGGACACTGTTTTTGGAGGCTTTCAATGAATTGTGACATTAACTGCTGGTAATAAACCGTATCGTTGGTCTCGATTTCGCTCTTGGTCTGTTAAAGTGACAATTTTCAGTTAAATCATATTATAGTTTACAAGCAAAATGTTAAGTAAATTACAATATGAGGCCAAAACTGCATCGGACGGGGAAATGATATGAAAAATAGCGGTAAAGTAAACAGCGGTAGTATTGGCGCACATATTATGCTTGAGATTATAACCATCGAAATAATGAGCGGAAATATAAAAACATCAAAACCTAATTTACAAATTAAATGTAAATATTATGTAAGATATTTATTTTTAATTCCTTGTATTAACCAACCGATTAGACACGAACTCATTGGAAATCTTTGTTTTTTCATAACAACTGAAGTTACCATTAAAACGAGTACTAAATATAATTTGTCTAAAAATGAAGACAAAATATTTAATATAAGATCAAAGAGTAGCCATTGAAGTGGTGGACTCCAGTGAATCAATTTAAGGCCAAAATGTTGCAAAATGTTTGAAGAAATGAGAATAAATGATGAAATCAATGGCTTTCTCCAAATCGATTGATGAATATTTAAAATGGCAAAAGTTGTTGAAATTGATTCATACAAATTGGTCACATTTGAGTTATTGTTGTATATCCCAGAGTTTGCATTATTGAAAAGATGTGTTAATTCAATGTTTGCATTCAATAGACATATGACGGGCAGAACTAACAAAAATTAATTGTGTTATATTATTAATTATTTTATTTTTAGTTAATTTTAAATCTAAATCAAAACTTACAAAAATGAATGAGTATTTTCATTGCAAAGATTATGTGTTTGGAATTGTCTTTAAACTTATAGAAAACTGTTAAACCAGATGCTGACCGGGGATATAATGGATTGCGAATGAGTCCACAAAATAGATAAACGCTATGAGAATATCGTATCAAAAGAATAATTGCGAGTAGAATTGCATTTATATATGTAAACCATTGGTTTATTGGAAATAAATTTAATTCATTGTGAATTGTTATCGCATCGATTAAAATAATCAAAAGTATTGGCAAACAATATATAACTATATGAATGAGTTTAATTGATTTCATAGGATTGACTTCAGGAATAAAATTATTACTCAATACAAAGCCAATGAGTGTTGAGATAAATATCAGAGGCACCGGACGGTTGATCACCAGACAGATCAGTAATGTTGTCGAAGACAAGAATAGAGATATTATTGCGTAGAGGACTGAATGAGAGGGTCCGCCACCAAAAATGATTATATTTATCCTTTCATTGAGCCAATGGATTAGTGCCATGACTGGCGGTAAGACACCAAAGAACCAGAGCAATGGGTATGTGCTTAAAATAATGGGACATATGATGCTGATCATAGTCTGTCTGAAGGCAATTTGGTCGATGAATATTAAAATTAAAGCTAAGAGTACATGAATGGGACGATTGAGCGTTGAAATGTTCACATTGGTCTGAATGGTGGCATAAGTAGCCGTTTCTGGCGGCGGTCCTATAGTTAGCGAATGATGTGATATAATGAATGTAAACCACGACATCCCAAACAATGTGATTGATGTGAACGAGTCATTGAAAATGTTTCGAAGGACTAATAGATTCAAATGAAATACAGCCAAACACACCAAACAAAACGATAAAATTGAATGTAATGTTAGGATAAGATTGGATTTTTGCGATGCGATGGGAATGATTTGAAACAAAAGTCTCTTTGATAGCACTGGTGATGACTTTTTGTCCACTTGTGGGGGGAATATCTTAACTGAATTATAATGTTTTGCCCACAAATGGATTGCGATTATTATTAGCAATGATATTATTCCGGCTATAATTGCAGCCAATGATTGTCGTAATACAGAGTATTGTATTAAGAAATTGAATACTAATCCTATTATAAATGGATAAACAAATAATAGAATTTTACATAACTTTATCACAAATGAAACTGGCTGTTCATTGATATCACTTTTTAAGTCAAAACCACCGAAGAATGTTTGCAAAAGTCTATTGGCTATAAAATTAATCTTATATTCACTGACCAAAGGATTATACATTTTACAAATTATTATTTCATAAAGAATTTGTAAATAAACCACTTTCACTTTAAATGTCAGTCCATTATAACTATGTTTTGAACTATTAATTTTACTATAGCAACCGTATAGACCTACCTGTGCTATACATCTAATGAGAATTCTGTGTATCGACTTAATTCTTATATATTTTATTTATTTTTTCTAATGTATTAATGAATATTAAGAATATATTCTTTATTTTCATTTAATGAATCAATACTATTTCATACGTAAATCAATTTTATTGAACGCATTTTACTAATAATAATTGATTTGATTAATTAAAAAATTATTTTCAGACGTCTCTAAAGATTTTTATGACGGATATTGAAACCATAACTTATATTACAGTTATTTATTTTGATTATAAAAATAGTTTTAATAACTTTAATTACGGTATTCTTAAATACACTGCAATACAGTATAAGATAAAATATAAAAGCAATTTACATATTTTCAAATTAAATTTCAAACTTTTTAAAAACATATTATAACTTTAGACATTAGCTTGATATAACAAATTTAAAAGTAATATAAAATCATATTATATTTTAATACAATAGCCTAAATTATGTCTTTTTTAAATATTTAAACTACACTCATCTAGTTGTTATACAATGTGCTCAATACAGTACAGGTAATATACTGTATATTCAGACTAATCAATTAAATATTAAGAAATGAAAATATTATTTTGATAATGAAATAATGTTAAAATTGATTTCACATTCAATTATATTTTGAATAAGAAAATCTTAAATCTAATGATGCTTGTTTTTCTTATTTTACAGTTAAAGCAATGTTGATATTAATATCCGATTTTCATTTCTAACTTATATTAAGTTAGAATAAAATATTGTTATTTTTTAGTTACAGTGATTCTAAATATGTAATTGTATTTATATAAATATATTAAACATGTTTTTATTATGAAATATAAAATCAATAAGTTTTAAGTTTATGTCGAATTTATTGAATGTATAACTTTGAAATACAAAAAATGAAGCATAGTTACTTAAATTGTAATTAAAAATCAACAAGTGATGTATAATTTTTTTTATTGAACATTTAACTAATATCCAAATTATTATAATGTTACTTTGTTTATTTCATTAAGTTGAATAGTTTGTAATTAGGTTATATTTACAGGGTAATATTTGTAAACATTGCTAAAAATTATTCAAAATCCTTATTTTCAGCTGTTTTCAAATTAAATTGATTAAAAATTAGCACTAAACATAATAAATATTTTTAAATATTTCCCATTAAAAGTATTTTAAGTTTAATTCATTGAATATTGAGCACAATATTCGTCAAATTCTGTGACATATTCTGCAAATTCTGTTGTAATTGCATTGCATTGTATGTGAACGTGGATTACGATATTTATGAACAGCCCTCAGCAGTGCCTTTCAAATTGAAAATGATTTGAAAGAAAAACAGAAAATATTTGTTGTTTTTGTGTTCATTTGTTTCAATGAGTTTGCATTCAATTGAATTGTTTTTCATTTCATAATTCACTTCATTTTGTGCACAAAATGTCTTCACTATCAGTGAACGTATCGGTGGAACCGTTAGATGAATATCAGGTGCAAGAGATCACATACGATGGACAGGAGAAGTATATTCAGTGAGTATTAGATTGTTTGCTGCAAATGGTGTCCATTTTAACCGATATTATCGTGGATTCACTTGAAGACCGCTTTCGATGTCCGAGAATCTGACGAAAATGGTTCAGAAGATAGACTTCGCGAAGATTGACACGGAAGCCAGTGATGGCACGAATGGTGTCGAAGCCATGGATGAGACCCCAGAAGTGGAGTCGAAAGAGTTGGCGACTTTCCAGCCCTCCCTCTGGCCCTTCGACTCCATCAGAAATAAACTCAAGTATTGTCTCAAATGTCTTGTCTTTTGCCACTCATTACTAAACATATGGTTTGTTGTCAACACTTAGACAAGCGTTGACTGAAGTGACAGTTCTTTACGACGTCCTCAGTATATGTAAAGACAAACGATATCTGGTTTTAGATCCCGTATCTCAAGAGCCCATCGAAAACAAACCGATCACTGCTTTGGTCGCCAAGAAAAAGGTTTAGTGTTTTGAGCACTTGATTACCACTTAATACTCATGAGTATTGTGTGTCTGGTGTCAGGCATTGGCGACTGTGGCCACCATTATATCCAATGGTTGCGATCGCATGCGTTCGGCACAAACGGAGGCCAATCGGAACCGATCGACAGATTTTCATTCAGAACTCTTTCAGATGAGACAGAACTGGAGGTTAAGAAAGAAAGAAAATTCAATTCTCGGAGATCTTAGTTATCGGAGCGGTAATCAGTTTTGAATGAATGATATGTTCATTAAAACTACAATTAATTGTCTGTCAATTGAAAGCCGGATCACGTTTTCCACATTCGGGTACTTTTGAAGTGACGAAAAACGAAGAGCAGTGCACTTCCGGCACGGGTTCGCGCGCCAGTGCTCTCAAAGTGAAGGTGCCGTCAGATCTAGAGGGCGGCAGCTTTTTTCAGGTCAAAACACAAAAAGGTGGGACTGTTATGCCATTTGTCTCAATGTTTGTACAATTTGTGTATTTTTTTGTGACTTAGACAACGAAGTGATAGGTGATGGCGAGGTATCGGTGCCCATACCTCCTGTCTTGCAGTCCAATGTGGACCTCAATTGGCATCAAAAGCTGGAAAACGCTCAAAACGTTTTGTTCAATAAAGAACTGTTTGCACAGTTAGCTCGAGAAGCAGTTCAGTTGCAACTGCCGATCCCTACCACTGTAATCGGCAATCAGATAATCGCATCGCTTTTCCCTGGCGTCCAGTTGTCTATAGTTTTGTGTCACACGACTATTCACGGGAAGATTAAACACCAAAAGAACTCCTCTCTGGCCATACCTTCCAAACAGGACTCACCCAATAAACCAGTTTTAGAGCACTCTCTGCACCAACTGTTACGTGAGTTGCATCACAACACACTTCACCACCCGATGCCACACCCGACCACTGCTACACTCGGGGTCAGCCGTAAGCGCTATTTAGCCGGTCCTGAGGCCTACGACCGACAGACGATCGCAGAACTCAACAAAAGTGATACTATTTTAGAGCAAATCATAGCTCAGACTCAACACGACTTACTACGGCTGCGGACAATGTTTATGATCGACACTCTGGCCTCAGAAATCAAAGATCCCATTATTGTCGCCCATTGGCTGTGTCTCAACAGCGCCACTAAAAGTAGTGTCAAAATTAATATCGTTTCGTACGGCTATGAATCCCTGTGCAGAACACCTCTTGTTATCCATATCTCCACCAAATCATTGAAAGCCATTCTTAGAGATGGAAGAGTTATAAACATGTCATACGAATCACAAGAATTGCGTTATTTGTTACTCAATCAGGTTTTTAATGCATTTCATTAAATTGATTATAAGTTTATCTAATTTTGAGCACTTGTTTAGGTATCACAACATCAAGTGTTTGCCATTCAAGCGCTTTCCAAACCGATGGGATGGAAAGTACTATCACTTAATATCAATGTAGGCGTCGGTCACGTGGAGCCCATCGGCACCGCCTCATCCATTGTGTTGGTCTCACCGAATGGCGATCGGTATGTCTTGCTATGGGTTTATTTGAATGGATTCTGTAATCTAGACTTTGTATTTGTGTCCAGAATAATAGCCATCAGATGTGGACCTCATTCAGGAATTGAGGTGAAGATGTGTTCATCGCCTCAGGAGTTCTACGCGAGTGCTTTGGTTCGCGACCGCAAGTGGCAGAACCTGACCGGCAGTTACCGAGAGGTCGATTGGGAGCGCATTGAGGGCAAGAATTTCATCAATAAAATTGAATACCTGATGGCCAGTCTCACCAACTATTGATTTGCTTTATTAACCATATTTCTCATGAATTTGACATTGATTTTCATTATTTATTGTAAATTTTTATTTATTTATATGAAACTATTTTTATAATTTTTTGGAATTCTCTACATTCTGTATACAGTACTATGAGCTAAAACCAATGGAAGCGTGCTATGAATTAATTGATGTATAAATATAAATTACTCGATGATAATTACTATTATAGCAAATAAATTAAGATTCAAATCAATGAGCAAACAATAATACAGTTCTAACCTAAACAATTTATTTTGCATCTTGTAAAACAATACAGTACCATATAAGTCAATGTTTAGACACAATTTAAAATTAAATAATAGAGAATTGCTTTGAATAGAGACTAATTATGTACAAGTTATATATAATTGGTGAGCCTATACTTTACCCCCCCCCCCCATGAAATTGACAACTGATTCTTATGTACTTTTTAACTCTAAAGACGAATCTGCGGTTAAAATATTTGTATCTCAATCCGTTCGGGAGATATTGCTAATGGATAGCAATAGAATCTAAATATAGTTACTGTATTGTAATTGTGTGGTTATGAGTGACTATCAAAAGAAATTAATATTCTTGAGCTATGGATCATTAGTAGTGAACTAAGGTACAGCTTAAACACGAGACATCACAAGATTTTCATCCAAATGTTTTGCAACGTTTGTATGAATAGCAAGAAATTCAGTAAGTCTTACATTATCTAATAATAGGAATATTAATACATTTGACAGACATATTAATATTCTTGACTAGACATCACAAGATTTTCATCCAAATGTTTTGCAACGTTTGTATGAATAGCAAGAAATTCAGTAAGTCTTACATTATCTAATAATAGGAATATTAATACATTTGACAGACATATTAATATTCTTGACATAAAAGTGCACACATTTAGCGATTATTTCTTTAAGATTAATAGTTAATAATAAAGCAATATTTGTTTGAAAAACAACTTTATATTCTTATAAGAGTTAAAGTTATTGATTAAAATGCTATTACAGTAACAGTAAACGCATAGAAGTGTTGCATAAAGTTTTTTTTGTGTTCAAAGAATAGCTCAGAATTAAGGGACAAAACTTGATCAAAAGACAAGGCTTTATGTAATTGACGAATGAATTGAATACACAGTGAATGCAAATTACAAGTTATGATAAGTTTTCGCTATAATAGGGTATAATTTTGATGAGAAAAGTGCCACAAAAGCAACTGATTGTCTCGTCTATGGATGCATTGGTGCGTAAGATTTGTTGGATGTGTTGGACATTGAAAGCCAGTACACGATGAGAGCGCAGGTGTGGGTCCTTCAGCTCCGGGCTATCCATTGCTATTATAATGCATTCATACGAATGTTATGCAAGACTTATGTCTGGATTCAGGGATTCAGTGAACGAGTGATTCATTGGTTTTGTAGTTATTATTGTTATAAATAGTCTATTATTGCGTCAAATGCTGTCAAATGCTGTCATGTCTTCAGTCCTCAAATCAATTAATACGTGAATCCACTGATTGTCGCATCCATTCACTCGATGTCTGTCTTCAGTTGAATTGATCCGTGAATGTCACCAGAGGAGTGATTCACTCAATGTTTACAAAACATTACTCTTATATGATTACTATATCCAAGACTACATCCATTTGATCCCACGTTCACCCACTCGTCATGACATTAACGGCACAATACCGGCCCTATCGGGGTATGTCATCCATGTCCTCATGACCCACGAGTCCATCACTTGATTCAATTGTCACGAATGAACGCATTCTTGTGGTTATGATGACAACAATTGCACTAAACGTATGAATGGTTTGCTTTCAGATGAGGAGACACTGGATGGTGTGGAGAACTCGGACCTGTCTTGGCCTGACCACGAGGTCGGAACCATTCAGATCTACGAGAAGACCACTGAAGACATTCCCTTCGCATCCAATCGCCGACTGCTGATGGGAGTCGTCATGTTATCCGTGTTAACCATTTTGACCGGTTTTCTCATCGGATACTTCGCTCACTCCACTCACTCAGAGTGTGTCCCAAATCTGGTCTGTCTTCGCGTATTATCACTAAGTATTTGACACTAACTGTTGTCCAACACTCGCACCCATAGGCCATGTCTTTACATTCAGTACGCGATGAGAATCCGACGATTCGGGCGAAGATAATGAGGGAAATTAATCCCATATCCATACGATCTGTGGTGAAGGAGTTCTCTCGTGAGCCACATATGGCCGGATCGGCCAATGATCTCAGACTTGCCATTCAAGTGAAGGACTTCTTGAATGCTCATCACTTCGACAAAACTGAACTCAAGAACTATTCGGTTCTCCTCTCTGTCCCCGACTCTCATGAATCCAATTACATTGAAATCATTGATCAAAGCATTAATAAAACAATTCATACATCCATTGGAACCGATAAGAAAGGATCCGATTCTGTGAGCGCCTTCTGTGCCTACTCTCCAAACACTGACATTAAGGCAAACATTGATATTCATTGCATTCAACGCTTTGACATTTTTGTGACATTTCATTGCTTTCGTAATATAGGGTTCAGTCATATTCGTGAACTTCGGCCAACTCGCCGACTATCAGATCCTATCGACTGTTTATAACATAACTCGTGATACAATCGCCGGTAAAATCTTAATTGCAAAGCAATTCCACTTAACAGCAGACGAACAGGTATTTCATTCACTGAGAAAACAATATAATGTGTATTATTAATACGAAAACTAATGGTGTAATTCAGATGTCATTTGCATACCAAATGGGAGCGGCAGCTCTGCTACTATACCCGGACCCGGAGCACTACAATTCTCCCAATTTAAAAGTCAAACCATTCCCGGACTCTCCTTATATGCCGGCAGATGCTGTTCGACACGACTCTCTCATATGGAATGGATTAGGAGATCCACAGACTCCAGGGTTTGTGTCATTTGTGTGCACCGACACTATTGACTCGAACTTCAATTTGTTTATCTGTCCATTAGATACCCGGCCACTTCTTATGCACACCGTTTGCCATTACAATCGCTTAATTTGCCGAAGTATTGCTCACAACTTATTCAATATATTTTCTGTTGTCTAATATAATGTCTAATTTTTCCAATTCATAGTATTCCTGTCCAACCAATCAGTTATTTAAATGCATTGCAAATCCTGAGTAGACTTGATGGCAGCAAAGCTCCCGGTGCGTGGAATGTGGGATCCAATACCACCTACTATTTAGGGCCAGGTTTTCGTAACGAAGGCAACTCTAATATAACATTACGTCTTAAGATAAGCAATCAATTGGTGAACAAAACAATTTATAATGTAATCGGATCTATAAGAGGCAAAGTAGAGCCCGACCGGTATGTCATAGTTGGCAACCATAGGGACGCCTGGTTTAACGGTGCAATAGACTCAGCGGCCGGAACGGCAGCTTTTCTTGAATTATCACGAGTTTTCGGTGACTTATTGGTGGAGGGGTGGCGTCCGCGTCGGTCCCTATTGTTCTGCAGTTGGGGCGCAGAAGAGTTCAATTTGATTGGTTCCACGGAATGGATCGAAGAGAACCTCAAGATATTGCACGGAAGAGCCGTCGCTTATATTAACTCCGATATTATAGTCATTGGGAACGGGAGTCTCAGTGTGGCCGCCTCTCCCCTCTTATATCACGCCATATTCAACGCCACGAAAGAAGTGTTGAATCCTAACGATGAAGAGGAGGCAAAGACTGTGTACGAGAAGTGGTTAATCAGTTTGCCTCACATGAGAAACACTTCGGGAATGATTTCAGTGAAACGAAACGCTTTCGACTCGTCGTTTGATTTGGACGAAGACTTGTTTAGTATTAACCAACACTTCAACACTGGAGAGCCCAACGAATCGGGATCTTTGCTCAAGACTTATATGGAGTCGGCTGTCCTCCAGACCCGACCCAAAGTGCGTCCGTTAGACATGAGGTCGTCATACGCGCCCTTCTTCACGATGGCTGGCATTCCTGCGCTGGACATCACTTACACCAACGTTAACGCCGTTAATGAAGACTCGAATCCAATCAATTCAATGAGTTATCCATTACTACACACTAAATATGACACGTTTGAAGTGATCGACAAATTCATTGATCCGACCTTTAGGGTCCATAAAGCAGTGACACAAGTGTTGGGAGAGATAATTAGGGACATATCGGACTCACTCTTCATACCATTCAATCTCTTAGACTACGCACAGGTTCTCCGAGACCTTTACGTCACGCTTCATATCCACACCGAAACTATACTCAATAACAATGGCATTAATATCGGTATTGAAATCAATATTAATATTATTAAACTGATGGTTAAACTAATTGATACTTAACTGTCACTTAAAGGGTTGTTGGACTCGGCGATAACCAACTTTACTTTGGCTGCCGTTAGGTTCCACTCAAAACAAGACAAACTCGACTTCACTGAGTATGTGATTAATAGTGACAATTGGTTTACAAGAGATAATTGATTATATGTTTGTTTTCAGTCCAATGGCTATCAGACGAGTGAATGATCAGCTGATGCTAATCGAGCGCACATTCCTCGACCCGAACGGATTGCCCCGAAATATGATGAAACGACACATTATTTTGTCTCCCAGTGAGACGGACCCTCCCTATGACGAGATGTTCCCGGGACTCATGGATGAGTTCAGTATTCTATTACAACAGTCCGGAAACACCAGTACTAAGCACTGGACGTGGGATGTGATCAGAGCCCACTTCTCGATCATTGTGTCCACCATTGAAACGGCAGCGCATGCTATAAGTGATGTCATCTAATAGTTTACCGCAAATTTGTATTATTTTGTAGACATTTTATCATTGAAATTATGGGTCAAAAATCATGGATTCAATTTTGGGTCAATTGTAAAATACTTTCAAACATTATTTACCGGTATTTTCGTGAGTGTTTTGCTAAGAATTTTCAGCAAATAGTCGTTCAAAAAGGCAACTGAAGTTCAAATCATAAAATACTGAAAATGATTAATATATCGATTTTAATTGAATTGTGATTTATTTGGAGATTTGAATCTTATTTTTATTTATTATATACCGTACTACTACACTACATAATAAAATGTTGATTACTTTTTACAATGATTTGCACTTAAGTTGGCTTTTAATTGGTTTATCATTCATGGCATTGATTGTAACATTTTTGGCATTTTTAAGATTTATATACATTTTACGATTCATTCTTGATTTTGTATTTCATATGACTTGTTGTACCGGTACTAATAGATTAACATGATTATAGTTAGTATTTTCTGTGATTTTGTAAAATATAATTAATTTATGAACAAATATTTGAGATTTGAAAAACATTTTACGAATAATCTTTTATTTCAATAAATTATACGAATTTAATATAAGAATCTTTAAATACAAAGTAATTCAGCATTATTTTAATTATTGTAAATTAAATTTTAAAAAATAAATAAATTGTTTGTTTTTAGATATAAATAAGTTTACCATTAAATTATTAATTTGAATCTTTATAAAAACTTATAAACAGATAATAATATCGCAAAATAAATACATCGATTTAATAATCTTGAGAATAAGTTACTTGGAAATACAGTACTTTTAGAGTTTACTGCAGTTACAAAGTTTATTGCTTTAAACAAATTTAGTAATTTAGTAGATTTACAATTAAAATTTCATTAAATTTAATATTTATAAATTTTTAAAATATAAAAAACTTTGTTGGTACCACTATTTAAACCTTAAATTTAGTATTAATATTATTTTGGTTTCACTTTCGGCCGATTCTTCATATTCTTTAGGTCTTCATATTCTTTAGGTCTTCATATTCTTTAGGTCTTCATATTCTTTAGGTCTTCATATTCTTTAGGTCTTCATATTCTTCTTAGGATCCACTTTATTCATTGGACTCGGTTTCGGGATTTTCTGTGAACCAGGTATCGGACCTTTCATTGGACTCCGTAACGGACTTTTTTGTGGACCCGGTTTCGGGCCATTCGTTGGACTCGGTTTCGGGCTTTTCTGTGGACTCGGTTTCGGAGCATTCGTTTGATTAGCTCTCGGAGTCTGTCTTTGATTCTTGCCTTTGGATTTCCACTTAAACACTTCGCTTCTGACCGGTTCCAGAGCTTTGGTTTCAATGATAATACTCTGCACTTCAGTGGATGGCATGTCAGACATCAGTGAGTGTGCGGACTCGGAGTCGGAGTCATTAGATTTACTGGCCTTTGCCTCCGACACCTTCACGGGTTTGCTTCCTCTTCTTCTGACGAGTAGATATATGAAGAGAAAGACGACTCCCACCAGAATTATGAACAAAATGACTCCTATCACTAGTAATGGCATTAAGACAACTGATGGTTCAGTGGAAGCATTACTTTCAGCCGCTTTTGGATCAGGACTGGTGTGTGGATTGACTGGTAGGGCATCTCTGTTGAAAAGCAACGACCTTAAAGTGGTTTTGACAAAATGCATTGTGGTCTTAGTGGTGGTGGTGGTAGTGGTGGACACTGTCCCATTGCCTCCTAATAATTTTCGTAAATAATCCATTTTAAGACAATTGTATAACTTTTAGGATATTATAATTATCTTATGGATTGAATGCTAAGATTTAAAAATGAAAGATAAATTTGAAAAGAGCGAGATTATCAGTGTAAATGTTGATTTGTTAATTTTTATGAGTATTAGTTATTCCGGGGATTAATTGTTATCTCAAGCTCACTTGTTGTAAACGTGTCTCAGATATGATATAAAAATGTTTTATAATGTTATTAAATGTATTATACTGACAATATAACAATTATTACACCAGTATTATTACACATTAGATTTGATAAACTGATGATTTCTTTAATAATTTAAGAAATAACATTATTTCCCCAGTTTTAATCAATAACAATTTGTAATTAACTTATCAAAGCAGTTTTTGAGAAGGTGTTTTAAAGGGTTACAACTAAAAATCCGTGATTTTTTAAATTCATTGTTAGACTAGGAGTAAGCGCGCGCTTAAGAAGTTTTAGATAATGGATCAATTGGACCATTATCTGAGTAAATAATCCTGATACCATTTTTATTAAATTCAAATCAGAATAATTTTGGGAGAATTTAACCTGAGAACAAATATTTTTTGTGTTTGGAAAGTATTAACATTATGTTCAATTGGTTTTTTCAAAGAATACAACTTTTATAGTTATCTAATGTTTTTCTATGAGAATTTCATATTTAATTAATGCAATATTACTTGAAATATATTCAAGTTATATTACTCTAGGTATTATATTTTTATTCTCAATAGTATTTTGAACATAAATTCTTTTTTAATAATTTTTTTACCCTTTTGCGCACCTACCTACGGAGCATAAAAGATTACATTGTTAATACTTTCCAAACACAAAAAATATTTGTTCTCAGGTTAAATTCTCCCAAAATTATTCTGATTTGAATTTAATAAAAATGGTATCAGGATTATTTACTCAGATAATGGTCCAATTGATCCATTATCTAAAACTTCTTAAGCGCGCGCTTACTCCTAGTCTAACCATGAATTTTAAAAATCACGGATTTTTAGTTGTAACCCTTTAATTTTTGAAAATTAAATGACAATTTTATAATACTTTCTACTGTATATAAGTTTATTAAATTTTGTACTAATTTGTTAATTGTCAATTTAATGAATTCTGATAACCTATAGTTTCAACTATTTTATAATAAGTTATAACTTATAACTGATATTATTATACTCTATTTATTTCTACAATTTTATTGTATACAGAAAACAGGTATACTAGAGAATAAGAGTTATGAATTTAAAATATATGTATCAATGAAAGTAAGTTAAAACTACTTATAAATTACTTATTGGTTCACTTACTAGACTAGTACAGTATTATTGTAAATTTGATAAAATTCATATTTTGGACTGGATACGGTACTTACAACAGGCAATATGAGGGAGGTGGGGGTGTTGGACAAAATGTGGCTAATAAAGTTTTAATGTGAATAACAGTAAATTAATGGTTTCACGTATTTCTATAATTTTATTACTTTTATGCATAACTTATGTATAGGAATGCAAAAACAGTTCGCATACTGTATTTGAATTAAGTTTATTGAATACTAATTAATAAAACGGTTTATAAGTAATTAAATTGTTTACTTTTGCAATAAATATTAGTTTGA